GATGAATAAAAAATAAGAAATCAATTGACGAAATGATTTAATTCTTACAAATAATATCTGATTTTTAAGTGTTAGATAAATTTTGTAGATTCGACGTATATGTACACACCTTTTTCGAAGCTATTACAAAATTTGTCAATATAAATAGGATAAGAGCCAATAAGATTCAGCCCCAAAACATGTGCTGAAAAATACCCACTAACCTGAAAATCCGTCACATCCTATTTTATCTGATCCGAAAATTAGGATACCCGATCTGTATTATTTGATCGGATTAAAAGAGAATTGGGTACCCGTTTAGATATAGGATGGGTTAGAGTCACATAATTAAAAATCGCAAATACCCGACCTGACCCGCATATTTATTTTTTTATTTTTATACACATACTATAAAATAATATATTTAGAACTAAATAAGCAATTTCATTGAAGAAATACATTACAAATGTGAGAGACTATAGTTTGTTTACTAAATTCATTTGAAGAGATCATGATTTTTTTTTTTAGAAAATAATTTAATTAATATGGAATATATATTTAAAAAAGGTGCTACTTATTTCAAATTTTTATTGATTTTGAATTCTTTTAATTTTTTTCCTTTTTCTTGTATTCTCTTTGCATGCTTGTTTCTTGGTAGGAGACTTTTTTGAGAAAAAATCTTTTTTAAATCTTAGATGAATATGTAAAATAAAAAATTAAATTAGTATAAATTTTTTTTTTTAAATTAAATGATAAGCGGGTGAAATCGGTACCCGTTGATCCGACCCTATTTCGGAGGGTACCCGATAATTGAGTACCCGCTGATATACGGAGCGAATAAGGGTAAAAAATAGCTGACCTGTAAGGTGCGGGTCAAGTCAACCAAATGGTGCATAGGGTAGGTACCCGATCCATACTCACTCCTAAATTTTATCAAGTGGAAACTTGAACTCAAGCTCTCAATATAAGGTTTGATCTCGAGCCGAGTCGAGAAAAAATTTTAAAAAAATTTATTTTATATTTTTAAAAAATAAATAAAATAATAATTTTTAAAAAAATAATAAAATATTAGAGATATATATAATTTTAATATATACATATGTATGTATGTATGTATGTATGTATGTATAATCGAGTCAATTTAGGAGTTAATGAGCTAAATATTTTTGAATTCGAATTCGAACTTGATTGCGACTTGATTAGTTTGAATTTGACAAGAACTCGATATTGACCGAACTCACGCCGAGCTTTGAGTCGAACTACTCACAAGTGGCTAGCGAGTGATTTACTCATGTGCAGCCCTATATGCTGCCACCCGTGTGACTTTTTTTTTTTTTTTTTTTGTTTCTGCTTCTTTCCTTGGTTCCCTGGTTCCATGTGAGTCACTTGTGGCATTAGGTGTAAGGCGTCTAGGATTTAGACATTATCTCTCTCAAAATTTATCCACCATTTCTTGTCTTCTTCCTTGGTTTCAGTTTTTTCATCTCCTTCATCTTGAACCCCTCTACTCTTTTCTCATTCTTTCCTATCTATTTTCTTCCCTCTTATCTTTCTTTTCTTCTTTTTTCTTCCTTCTTTCTCCCTATTACCAAGGGATCTTTCTTCTCTAATAATGTTTTGGATAAATTAATTATAACCCTCAGTGATTTTACATAATGCTAAATGACCCCTCTAAAGGTTTAAAATTGCCATATAACCCTCTAATGATTTTATGTAAAGTGAAAAATAGACGGAATGCATAATTAGTTATGGCGTTTATCCCAAACGCACTCTAAAAGTGCTTGTAATAAAATTTTAATCTCCATGAAACTCTCTTTTGATTTGTATAAGAATTTACTTTACCCTTTGTGGTTTCTGCATTTATCCATGTAATCCAATCATACTTTTATACAAGGTAGTTAAATCATTGATTGATTCAACATTTAAGTAAAATCACTATGGTATTTCAATTAATGACATTATGTAAGTTATTTTTGCTCAAGTTTCTATATTATATAAAATCATATGGGGTGAAGTGGACATTTTGAAATGTTAAAGGGATCATGTGGCAGATAAAACTACATGGGGATTATATATAATTTACCCTAATATTTTATATGACTTTCTCTATTCTTTGGAATTTATATTCGTTATTGTTCTTTTCAAAGCCTTCTTGAAAATATAATTTCCTTGCTCATATATTTTTGAGAGTATACTTATATATTCAAGATACATTTGGTAAATCTGGACATATAAAGCTTTCATCATTGTGTGGAAAATCAATGAGCTTACACATTTATATCCTGGAGCATCTCTAACTCGAATTTTGTTGAATAAACTCAATATTCGGCTACCTCAATTAAGGTGTGATACCCATTGAACACCGATACAACATTTCTTTTATAGCTCTATTCATTAGATACCAACTGTTGGTGTATTTTAAAAAATCTTAATTATTTTTTGGCCAAATCTTTACAAGGAGTTACAATAGAATTTAGGGTAAAAAACAAAAAAAACCCCTATGCTAAACCTAATATACAAATAAGCCCCCTATGATTTCAAAATATACGACGCAACACCTCATGCTTTGAATTAAATTGTAATCCTGACAAAAATTGGTAAAATTAATGGGACTGATGTACTGGAAGCTAAAAGCAAATTCTTTATGCTTAATTTTTAGTAAATATTCCTATTGTATCCCTTAACCCCCAATAAAACTCCTAGCGATGCTTGTGTAGAGAAATCGATTTTCTCCTTGATTGAGAGAAATTGAACTAGCCTTTGGGGGAAGTCAAATTACCACCCAATCGAAGAGGAAGGCAAAGCTTCTTCAAAGATGAAGTCAATCACCGAGCAGCTACTACACAATCTTGGATAAGGTAAAAAGTTTTGATTTTGGGTTTTGGCTAACAAATTGTTGTTATTAGGGTTTAAAGTAAGAATGCTGGTAACTAAATTGGAATTTATCTACTGATGAAGGGAAACGACTGGCTAAAAAATTTGCTCATGTCTTCATCTAGCTCTCGAGGGTGTAGTGGAGCTGGGGATCTACGATACCAATATAAGATTTGTGACTGTCGAAGAAAGATGAAAGTGAAGATTATTGAGTCCGAAAAGCCATCCAAATGGATGCTGTACTTTGTATGTGAAAAGGATGAATGTAGATTTTGGTCATGATGTAATCCCATCTATAGAGATAAAGCCAGCAGAGAAAACTTTTTTGGGAGGCCAACGGTTGAAGAACATTTCCTGTGCTTGAACTCCAATTGTGAAGTGAAGAACTTGAATGATAAAGTGAAGAACTTGAAAGCACTAGTTAGCTATTGTTTAATGGTATCTATTTTTTCACTTTTGCTTCTGTTGATGATAATGTCTATAAAATAAGACAATGATTTTGTTATGAATGAAAATGAAGAAATTTGGTGGTTTGTTTTATTCATGAAAATGTGCACTTTATTCTTCTGATTTTTTGAAAAATGTTCTACCCAAAACAATGAAACAAATAACTATTATATAAACTTCCAACCCTTAATCATATTTGTGCATTAAAAATAGTTTTGAGGAATAAGTACACATAATAACATCTTCTGCGATTGAGAAATACACTTGTAGCCCTTAATCAGAATTCTCCATTAAAACAGTCAATAAGTACATTAAAGTTTTCAACACTTGACAACAATTCCAAATAAAGTAAACAAAAGCATCCCACCAAAGAAAAGCTGCCTAAAAAACTGTCCAAATGTTTGCCACCAACTCCAGCAGAAACCATTAATTCCTTGAAAAACTACACAAAAGGCAATCAACAAACATAAAGTTCATCCTAAAATAAACTCTAAAGTTGCTATGTTAACTGAACTACTTATGTCCACATCTTCTTGCTTTCTTGGACTTTAGGTTGGATAGAACATCAACAACAGACAACAGTAGGACAAAGGGGTCCTTTTGCTGTTGAAGTTGTGCCACTCACAGGCTGCAATTAAAGAGGAAAATATGAATGTCCGAATGAATAATACTTCATTAATTCACATTTGTAGTACATCTAATCCAACCTGAGAACATGATTGTCTAGCAGGCATATTTTTTGCCACACTCGCAGTTGTTGGCTGCATATACTGCTTCCCAGGCCTGCAGCTTGTTTTTTGAACATGTGCAGCTTATTCTTGATTTGGGACTACTGGTTGCGGGGGCACCATTGGTGAAGGAGCTGATGAATGAACTGCTGAACTTGATTCAGCTACATTAGTGTCGGGTGCCTATGAAAAACAAGTTCATATTCATGTTGAATTAATATGATTTGGGACAGCAAATAAGATGAAAAATCTAGTTTATGTTACCATGTAGAATTTAGAGTTGGGATGAATGGCATTCTTACAGGTCCTTGAATTATATCTTGGCTAAAACATCTCTTGCAATGAACCACAAGACCCTTCCTGGTTGAGACTTGACCCTTTTTAGGCTCGTCGGCTGCCCTTTGTCGGATCTTTTTGGGTTTGCCAGCCAATTTTCGAACTGCAGGAGGATTGGGGGTTGTTCTTCACATCTCACCTAGTACTTATCACTCGGGACAAGTGTGATAGTATGCTCATATGTTCTCAAGTAATTTTCTCTACTGTAGCAGGCATGCACATAATCAAGCAAAGGCAATCTAGGTGCTTCTATTGCAGTACATGCATGGGTACAAGATAACCTGTAAGTTGGAAATAACTACATATGCAAGTCTTTTCATTCAAATCCATTACAACAGATTTTCTAGGCCCACAGTCAATTTCATATTTGTTCTTGCCATCCCATGTGGGAATACGCAGCCTACTAAGTTTCAGATTCTTGTCAATCTTCCTTGCAATGTTAGGATAGATTTTTTCTTGAAATTTTTGCATACCAGACCTCTTCACTTGAATCCTTTACATGAGCCTTCCTCGGATCCACTCAAGCATCTCTATGATAGGTAGCTCTTTGGCTTCTAAAATATAATTATTGAATGACTCACAAAGGTTGTTGACAAGAATATCACATTTGCTACTTTGTCTAAAATGTGACCTACTTCATAAAACTGGTGGCATTTTTTGTAGCCATTCAGCTGCATCCTTTGAAGCTTTTTCAAGGGAATTCATTGCTAATTTCCAGTCTATTTCATTCCTAGCACTTACAGCTGCCCAGAACAAGTCTTTCAACTCTTTTCCTTTGGACTTTTGTTTAAAATTTTGGTACATATGCCTCAAGCAAAACCTGCGTTCAGAATTTGGAAATAACTCATTCACTGTATGGACCAGTCCTTTTTATCGATCTGAGATGAATGTCCAAGGTATGTTTTCCACACCAAGTCCCAGATCAGCCATTAATAGTTCCAGGAACCACTCCCATGAGTCATACCTCTCTATCTCTACCACTGCTACTATTATTGGAACCATGTTCTCATTGTCATCTCTACCAATTGCTGACAACAATTGACCACCAAATGCATATTTCAAAAAACACCCATCAAGACCAATTATTGGTATAGCCATCGAGGACCCCTGTTTGCAAGCATGAAGGCAGTAATACAGTCTTTCAAATATTCCTTGTGAACCCTCTTCTGCTGTATCAATCTTAATCTTGACAGTGCTATCAGGATTTGTCTGTCGGATTGTAGCTGCATAACTCCAAAGGTGGTGATATTGCTCCATATCTATGCCAAACATCTCATCTTTTCCCTTTCTCTTTACTCTGCGTATCTTGGCAACGAACACGTTAATCATTAAATCTCTTCTAATAACATTCTGAAATTCATTCACGGCACACTTCGAGTTACATCTTATTTTGTCTTGGTACTTCGCACTCAAATACTTGATTGTTGTATGCTTGTTGTTGTAATATCTAACACAAACATGCTGACCTTTCAATGATGTAATTTGAAAAGTAGTTTCACCTTGGATTGGTGTTGCACGAATCCTCCAAGAACAGCCCTTTGCACACTTGGCAATAATCTTTTTTGAGTAATTTTTTACCCATTCAACCTCATATCTCTTTCTTACCAACCATTCGACCAACACATATCTAAAAACTATGAAATTGAAAAACTTCTGCCTAACCTTCAATTCAAAATGTGACTTTAGAAACTCCATTTCATGGTTAAAGTTAAGGCATTCTTTATGGCCTTCATAATCATATCCGCAATTGTCCTGCAACTCTTCATCAAAAACTACTAGTTCTTACCAATCTTCTTCTGGTGTATGTGGTGCTCCTTCTTCTATTGATTTTTCTTCACCATTTTTACTGTTCACTGCTTCAGCTTGTGATAGGATCTGAGATGAGTGTTAGTCAGCAGTTTGAGATGGAGTCTCAGCTGAAATCTGAAATGAGATATAAGGTGAAATTTCTCCAATGTTGTCTGGCCCTACAGACTGTTTCTTACTTTTGTTGGACTTTTTTGCCTTATTAGTTTCACTTTTGGCAGGGCTCTTGATAACTACCTTTGCAGGAAAAGAGAACACATAATAAGGCTTAAAATGGGTGCAATGTAATATGGACCCTAGGGCTGGAGTTAAACCAAGTAGCTCGGCTCGAGCTTGAGAGCTACTTGGTCAGCAGCTCGAGCTCAAGCTGCTCGTTAGAACTATCGAGTCGAGCTCGAGCTTGAAAATATAATACTCGAGAGCTCGACGAGCTCTATCGAGTTTTTTATAATATATATTTTTATTTTTATTATTGTGAAATGTCAATAATATCCTTTATTTAAAATTATATATAAAATATTAATTTTTATTACTTGAACTTGATTAGACTTGATTGAACTCGAATAAACTCGATTGAGTTTGATTTGAATTAATTACATTTAATTAAACTCGAGCTCGAGTTCCATAAATCGATATCGAGCTCGAGCTCGAGTTTAGTTATTTTGTCTCGAGTCGAGCTCAAGTAGTGTACTACTCGAGGTCGACTCGACTCGACAGCACCCCTAATGGACCCGCCTTCTGGTTTATTGCATTTATCCACATCTTTTTTAGTTGCAAAAATATCCTCATCCTCTTTTGTTTCCAACCCCTTCTTCAGCTATTCAGGCTTATCATCATCAGTATAATTTGTCTTCTTTGGTTGCAATTACTAACCCCATCTTCTTTTTTTTCTAAAGTCTCTATGTTATGTACTACATCATCCTCGCTGTCTATTTTGGTGTTATGTACCCCATCTGCACATTTATTTGATGTTGATGCATCTATTGTCGAATTTGGCTCCAATACATTGTCCCTACCATATTCTAGTGGCTTTTCAAAAGAATTATCCCCACTGCAAGCATATATTATCCTTGTTGCCAAACCCCAATATGTTTTATTCATCAATTTAACATCATTATTGTCCCTAATTGAATGTATGTCACCATTTAAGTCTACTTGTGAAGCACAAAACCAGAAAGTCACTTTAGTTGCATTCTCATCCATTTTTTTAAACATCCTGCAAAGGCTAACTATGGAGATCTGGTCTTCAAGTCTATTTTTAAAGATAGCCATACGGGTTCCTATGTAGTGAAGGGCAAGATATTCTCCAAATTTTTCATCAAAATACATATGTATGTTTACTTTTTCCTCTGACTTGTCTTCTTCTTTTGAATATTTCAAGGAATATAATAAATATGCTTTAGTCTCCCGACTACTATGTCTCCATCATTGATATACATAAAACTAAATAAACAGAAAAGCACAAGCACAGCCAATTTTAATAGCATTCTGGACCACTAAACCAGATAAGACAATGACAGGTATAGAAATTTATAGTTTTACTCATAATTCTTTGTTAAGTATCTAGTTGTAACAAGTAATTGAGTCGTACTCAAACACACAAACAAATCCTATCAGAAATGGACATTTTAGAAATTATTTGCATGACTCCTAGTCAACACCCAAATATCAATAAAAATCTCGACTTTAAATCCAAAGTTGCAGTCTCAAAGCAGCAAAAATCTCGACTTTAAATCCGAAGTACCAGTCCCAAAACTCACAAAATTAGGATTTTTCTAAGGTCAACACCCAAATATTGTATATCATTAAAGTAAATAGAATTATCAGCCCTAAGTATTGAAATCAATTTAGTAAAAATCTGAGATGGGTAACCCTAAACCGTAACTAATTACAACATACATGAACTAATTTTAACTAATTATAACATGAACGAAGTATAACATACATACCCATTTGCCTTCGATTTTATGGAAGAAATCTTCGTCTCTTTCGCTCTTCTTACTTGATTCAGATTGGCTCGGCTTTGGCTGCTCTTTCGCTCTTTCGCTCTCTCTCTCTCTCTCTCTCTCTCTCTCTCTCTCTCTCTCTTCGTAGGGTTTGAACAAAACAAATGATTCTGTTCAATTGCCTTTTGGTTCTTATATAAGGGCATTTTGGTCCTTTCATCAATTCCCGTTAATTTTTTCGATTTTCGTCAAGATTATAATTTAATTCAAAATATAAGATATCACATTGTATATTTTGAAACCATAGGGGGCTTATTTGTATATTAGGTTTAGCATAGGGGGCTTTTTTATTTTTTACCCTAGAATTTATTTGGGAGTTATGGGAATTATAATTGTGGGAGTTACAATGCATTTTGAATTGAGTTATTGTACAATTATTTGAATAAGAGTTACAAATGAATTATTTGGTCAAATGAAGAATTATTGAGTCTTTATAAGCCATTCAAATGTGAATCATATTTTTAGGTTACAAATTCTACCAATTAACTACAATTTAATATGAAAAAAAAATCGTTGTACATTGGACTTTCAACCCTTTTTCTAAAGGTTTTTGTAGCCTATAAATAATGAAATTCTTTGGAGAATTTCATACACATTTCTCTCAACAAAATATCATTCTAAATACTATTCTCCTCACACTCTTTTCTTTCTCCCTCATTCTGTTTTCTTTGGGCAAAGAAAGATATTGGGAAGCTTTTGCTTCTCTTGGTTGTGCATATCAAAAGGAAGCAACAACTATAGAGTTGGGTTATTATATTCTGGAGGCAGCGCACTAGACCTTCTGCATCGGTTAAAAAAAAATACCGTATGAACACATATCGTCTTAAAAAGAGCGTACTGCGCGTCTCAACCCTACTGAACTTTTTAGTAGCTGTCAAATTCAAGGTGGTTAGCGTGAAAATCAAATGTTGTTCATGTACTCTCTTCCAGCAATTTTAAGACGATACTCAAATGGAGAGTAATACTAACTCTACTATCCTTACGTTTGTCGGAAGCTCTACATATTGGCATTATAGTAAAATTTTCTTAAATATACCCCAAAAGAAAAGAGCAACTTTCCAAATAGAGCCATAAAAAAAGTGCACGTAGAAGACGACAAATAAGAATAAAAAATAAGAAAACAAAGAATTGGTTCGGGAGTTCTGAATGTAAAGTTAATCATTTTTTTTTTTGTAAAAAAATTTCTATTTTGTTATCATATTTTGTAAGTTTTGGACATTATGGCATCTGCTACATTAATTAATACCTTTTCTTTTTATTTGGATGAATAAGTATTAACCTTTTAACCAAGTTAATAAGGAAAATAATAAGAATGTTAGATACATTTTGACTATAATTCACCTCTGATTTTTAGACACTTTCTGAACTTTTAAAATCCTTAGCCAAAGTTATGCAACTAGAATCTTCTTTTTTTTCTTTTTTTTTTTACCCAAAAAAAAAAAAAGAATCCTTTTTTACAACATATTTCATCACTTCAGCTTCTTTCGTATTCTTCTTCATTTGATTGATCCTGCCATTTTCTGAACATCTGCATAAGGCACCTCAATTGTGACTCACCATAGACAAGACTTGGACATAAAACTTTGGCCAGGAGATGTGTTTTGCTTGATCCAACATTTGGCTTCATTACATAGTCGCTGGTCTTTTCTTGTTTCTTGATTTTAATTTGTTTATTTTTTTTTTAACTTAAGTTGGGTAATGAGTGCCCAACACAAATATAAAAAAACGTCCAAAATATATGTGAGTTTTTATTATCCAATCCAAAATTGACCCAATACCCAACCTCTGAAATTAGTGGATGAGTTGGGTGGATTGTTGGATTTTGGACAAAATTGCCAGGTCTAATTGTGAGTAGTAGTAACCATGCAAAGAATAGAACAGTAACTTCTGTCACAGCATAGATGGCATGTCATAATAGTCTATACTGAATTTCTAATCAGCTAAAGTTAGAGGATCCACTTCTATAGAAACCACAAAAAATGGAGGCAGTCTCCAACTTCCCATGCAGAATAGAGACACATTGAAATGTTTTGGAAGGGGATATGTCAAACAATATATATCCCTATAACATTGCCAGATCTGATGATACCTATCATCAATACAGTCAATTTATTTTTATAGACAAGAATAACAAAAACAATTGAAAGTGTCTAAATATCTTATGGGAATTTTACATACATAGGTGAATGCTTAAACTAAATGTACTCTTTCAAAGCTCTATAAACTGGAGAGAAGCTAAAGTTTATGGAACAATTAGTCAGCGCTTCACTAGTAATCATTGCCACCCATCCAGAGTATCTCACTGTATTTGCTAACCTTCCTTCAAGGAGACTATTTAGTAGGGCAAATACCACCCTCATTAAACGGTGCACTCGCCTCACTAGTTGAATCAACAAGTAGGAACTATGAAGCCCTGTGTCCCTTTTTGCCCAAGCCAAATGAAACTGGAATCAACAGACCAGTGCATAGTCAGTACATCAATTTCTGTCTTATTGGATACACTGCAAATTTAACCAGAGTAAAAAACTGAGGCAGCATTGAAGCTCAGACAAGATAAAGATTCATGTTGTGATATACTGTCAGGACCTCAAAAAGATCATCTCAGCTATGATTATATGATATGGAACACATCAATAGACAACAGAGAATGCTGATGAGCATTTATTTTAAGAGATGTCATCTCATCTGCTTCAGAGAGGTTGACAGTCTTTCATTCCATAGAATTGATAGTTCCCATGGAAAGTTATAATTGTTGACAAAATATACGACTAAATCATGGGATAGGAAGATCTGACAACAGCTTTAACCAAGGAAAAGCACTTGGCATACCAACATGCTCCAGCATTTAACTTCTTTGAGCAGGATGCAGATTCAGTGAAAAGGATCAATTCAACGTAAGCACAACACATACAAAAGGTGGCACATCAGCACTTTGTCCAGAAATGTTGAACTTTTCCTTTTTCAGGTATATTTCAACAACAAAAAGGAACAACTCGCAATACCTTTACCTAGAAATACAGATGAAGAAATCCAATTCCTGCAGTAAAAGTTACCAAAGGCACCCTTGAAAACTCTCTTAGATTTATAAAGTTTCTGATCCTAAGATTTCAGCCTCTAATATGTTAGCAATGCTTGAAGAAAATTCGTTTTGCAGAATTTGTTGTCCCAAATAATCTTGAGCTGCAATTCTGTCTCAATCATCCTGAGCATTTTGAACCATGATAGCGTCGAACTTTCCTTCAAAAGCATTTACTGGGTTTGCTTCAAGTAAACCAGAAGGAGATTCCAATGACAATTTGCCCTTAATCTAAGATTTCTCAAAATCTGATTGTGGACTCATATGAAGTCTCCAATCCATTATCTCTAAGGGTTCCCTTTTCCAGGTGCAAACCCAAGCATTCAACACCCTCCTAGAGTGTTTGTAGGTAGTGCCAGTAATATGTTATCATCAACAGTTCATTGGAACTATCAATGGTTCTATCAAGCAAAAACTCATACTATCAAGTAAATCAAATGAACTTATTGGATAAACCAAACAATGCCACCATCAATTCTAGCAAGACATGCTCAAGGAAAAGTCACCATTGAAATTTTACTGGGTAATTACATGAATATACTGGAACTACATTAGGAGTTCTAAGCTAAAAAAGATGAAAAAGGGGGCCTGAGGGGAGACTCAGATGATCTTTAAAGAATATTAATTGCTTCAAAATCTTTCCTCTATGCATCTCCAAATCATACATCAAAAATCCCCATCTTTCCCTGATAAACATCACGGAGCTGTGGTACTTGCTTCTCATATGGAATGACAAATTTGCTCAAGAAGTACTTCTCACCAGGAATGAATATAGAATATAAACGCGTGTACCATCTAATGAAGCCCTTCAAGCGCAAAAGATGAATAACAGATCCCCTGGGGATAATCCTCTTGTCCAAACTGAAATTGAGAATAACAGGATATCGTGCAACTGTCTGCGAATTCAGACCCATTTTGTTAACAAGAAAGTCCATCATCCTACTGAGTTTTTGCTCTGAAATAAGCATACAGTTAGGATCCTTTCCATATGCATTTCGCACCAAATCTTCAGACCAACCCCAACTCCTATACACTTCACAACACCGTTCCCAGTTTAATCTATTACGCATCCCAAACCGAGCATATAAAGCTTGCACAAAAGTTGATTTCAGATGATCAAATCCCATATTCTTAACCTCATATACAACTTCCCTGAAACGATTATCATTTACCATTACGGCAGCGGGATGACGAGTCATTAATGATCTAATGCATGATTCTCGAACTCCAAGTTCTCTTAGAACAGCAATATTAGAAGCAAGATTCTTTGTGGGGTCTTTAGAGAAGTAAACAGCACGCCATATTCTAGGAGAGGTAAGCCTATCATCTGTTCCATACATGCTCTTAAGACAATGATAAAGAGGCAATATTTTATTCTTCAAGCTGCTTCTCAGTAGATGGTGATTTGCTGAAAGATTTTTGGTTAACTCACTTCTTGAAACCCATATAGAGCTGAAAAATTCAATCTTGGGCAAAAGGATCTTCTCAGGATTGTAAAAGAGAATCTGTGGTGCTGCTCCAACAAGTTTTGCTATGTGGGCTTTGCTGAATCCTTGATCTCTGAGGAACGCCAAAACTGCATTGGGCTTCTCAAGGGACTTGAACGTTACTCTTTTAGATAGAAAATTAGCCCTTTCTGCTGGCAACCCACATGAGTTAACAAGGTAAGAGACAATATAAGAATGTGAATATTCATCCAATGCAGAGTTTGCAGTTCTTGATTTCACACCATAACCTGAATCAATTGCTTCAGCAAGACTACAGAAGTTAGCACAGCAATCATTTCTAGACCCCCTGGCAAAAATTGAGCTAGAAAGCAAATGACCTTTCTGAAGCAGAATAAAGCAGGCCGTAGGGATTTTAGCTGAAATCTTGATAGGAGAGAGCCTGTAGAACAGGTATGCAGATAACATGTTTGATGAATTTACGCATACAGCAACATGACCTCCGATGGGGCGATCAACAACATTAAATGCTGCAGGATATGAGGGTTACAGATTAGCCCTTCAAAGCTCGTTTTCTGAAATTTCGATTCGTGAGGGCTCTAACAAATTTGCTTTCTTCGTCACAGCCAAATGGGAAGTGGAAGACAAATTTTGAAATGAATAAACAAAACACAAACAGAGTAATACTTTGACATATAGTAATCTGTTTGGATTGTGAATTATTAGAGATATTTTTACTGTAGCACTTTTTGTGATGTGATGTATGTGAGATAAAAAGGTAATTGGGAAAGTAAAAAGGTGTATTGGAAATTGTAATGATGATGTAAGTAAATAAATTTTGAGAAATAAAGCTCAATCCAAACAAAGCCATAAGCTAACGCTAGTGGTTTGAGCCACCCCGATGTACGTGAAATATTATTTAAAATAATTACTGTAACACTTTTTTGTAATGTGACGTATGTGAAATAAAAAATAATTAAAAATATAAAATTATGGATTGAAAAATATATTTATGAGATGTTTTGTGAAATAATTCAGCTATCCAAACACTATTTTGGAAGTAAAAAAAAAAAGATAAAAAAATGATTTTTTATTTTTGATGTAAATGAGAGGGTTTGAAACCCAAATCTCTCACTTAACACTCCTTTCCCCGACTATTCAACTCATTATTTCCAAAAACAAAAAACAAAATGGGGGAGAAAGAAATGGTTATGAAGAGTAAAGCACCAAGAATCGAAAAAAGCAATCGAGAAAATAAAGCTCTTTTTATGAATAATTATAAAAAAAATATAGCCTCAATTTAATATACACTGTCAGTGCATACAGTTTATATATTATCATAGTTAAAATATTAAAATTAAAATTAATTGTTATATATCAGAGAATGATAATGTATACAGTATCAATGCATAGAATATTAATATAAAAATATAATGATTTGCAGTTGTGAAAGGAGCAGTAAAAGTTGTTTAGATACCTGTATTAAATTTTAAGACTTATTGTTTTGGTGTTTTTAGGAATGTTTTGCCCTTATAATTGATAGTATAAAAGAAAATTCAGAAAGCAACCCCGATTGCTAACACCATAGCAAGTTTGCCACTGCATAGATTGAATTCAGGGAGAGATTCAACTGTCGTGCTTGGGTCTGCGTCTCTTCAAGCTACGATCACAAAAGAATGCTAAGATCAATCATAAAGGAATTAAATACAGTGGATCACAAGCTACTTGAAATGTTGGAAAAGATGGAAGAGGAAGACTTGGAACGAAGGCTCCATCAAGATCTACAAGACAAGTGTTATCTTGTGATATTTGATGATGTGTGGAATAGGGATGTAATCGAGCCAAGTCGAGCTCGACAAGACAAGTGTTTTGCTATACTCGAGCTCGACTCGACTCATATGTATCAAGGCTCGAACTCGACTCGAGCACAAGTGTTATCTTGTGATACTTGATGCTGTGTGGAATAGGGATGTAATCGAGCCAAATCGAGCTTGACAAGACAAGTGTTTTGCTGTACTCGAGTTCGACTCGACTCATATGTACCTAGATTCGAACTTGATTCGAGCTTGACCGAGTCCAAAAAATCGATACTCGAAGCTTGACTCGAGGAACTCCCTTTAAGCTCGAGACTCGACTCGATAAGGCTCGACCTTTAGGCAAGCCTTATCAAGTCGAGTCTAATCAAGCTTCTTGACTCGATTCGAAAAATGTACACTTCTGCCCTTATAAAATTTTATTATAAAGAAGAGTATATTATAAATTCAATATAAATTATACTCATAACGGTCATTTTATAATTATAATATATATATTATTTAAATACACCCCGACTCGACGAGTAGCTTGACAAGCCACGAGCCTCAAAATATTGGCTCGAAACTCGACTCGAATAACAATCGAGTAGCTCAAGACTCGGCTCGAACTCGGTCAAACCGAGTTCAAGCCAAGCCACTCGCAAGTAGCGAGTTCAAGCCAAGCCACTCGCAAGTAGCTTGGCTCGCGTACATCCCTAGTGTGGAATGAAGAAGCGTGGGATTGTCTTGCCCACATCAAGTAGAGTGCTACTTACAAGTAGCATATTTCATCATCTGGTACTCCTTTACCATTATGCTACCTTATCCCCTGATTTTGCAACAACCATCATATTGTCCTTTTTTTTTCCTTTTCTTTTTTATCCCTTTAGTGATCATGCTATTTTATATGAGTGTCTATCTGATAGCATGACATCTTTTAGCAAAAGGGCTGTATAGCTCCCAAAACATACTTGGAAAAAGCATACCAACCACCAACATACTGAAGGCTATATATATAGCTAATATTATCAAGACATCAACAAGCCATGAAAAAGGTTGTGGTGAAACAAATCTCCATGTTACTATAAGAGTCCATTTTTAGAATACATCAATGTTACTGTTAGAGTACACAGAAAAATCATTTGAAAGGCTTAACAAACTAACAGAAAGGATTACAATTTTATCTGTAAGAGGCCTCTTTAACAAATCTTGATGTTCAATACTAACTGGCAAAACTGTTAAGAGAGCCTTTATGAAAAAACCAATACAAAGAATGGAGCCAGTTTCCAGGAATCGATTTCATTGGATATGCTGGCACGAGTCTAACATACAGGCAAATCGAAACATGTCGGAAGGGGAAATTGCATTGTATTCGATATAGCAAGTTCTGGTGATCCCCCATGCGTCATTTTTGTCCAGCGATGGAAGAGGTTGACCTACATTAGTACACTTAGGGTATGAATGAATCATCACTGTTAACAATGAAACATGACAATTTACATCAACAGATTGGAGCTAGTTACAAGGCAGATTACTAAGACAAGCACATCTAGATCATTATCAGTGTTGCGAACGGATGGCAGATGAGAAAATAATGAAATCTTAGTAAAAAAAAAAACCAGCACTTAAAGTAGTCCCCATTTCCTGAAAACTATATACACTCTCTTACAGGTCAGCGGGTGAAAAGCCATTATGTAAATGATCCCAAACATTCACTCATTCCTAGGCTCATAACCACTTTTCATCAAATGAAGCACCCCACAAGTTTTCAAAACAATATCGCAGACAGGTAAGACGCAAATAAACAAACAAATAAGATAAATAACAAAGAACTGTATAAAAGCCTCAAGAGTCGAACAACCAAGGCAAACATAAGATATTACCATTACGACGGCTTTGTTTTTTGTCCAATTTTTGAGATGCGCTTAAGTTCTTGGGTGCCCTTTCGCATTTCTCTGCAGAAAAAAGGTAACAATGTTTATGTAAATTGGAAATTCAGAGACATATGGAAGTCAGAGGCTAGAAAGTGCACCTTTGGTACAAATAGACAATAAGGTAGAATATAGGGAGCAGCATCATTGTCAAGATCGAAATTGCTAAATAAAACACGTTTGTGTGCTTCTGTACATAAAACATAGGAAAAAGTGTCACTGCAGGGGAAAGCAAAAGAATTGACACAAAATGATTAAAAAGATAAGCACTTCATGGAAATGTTGTAACAAATTGCCAGTTACTATGAGTTGAAAGTAACACAATTCAATCCATGCAGATCTAACAACTAATAAAAATTCAAGTAACTAAGATAACAGTCATTCAAAGGAATGTTCAGCTATCCTGGTTTGGCTTCTGAGCCTGTTTAAGGGCATGTCACACTAAGCAAAGGAGATCAACTCTATTTACAAATTAGCAGGAACTCTGAGCTCCACTCATTTAATCTAAGCTAGATAAATACCAATAAAAGCTTACCCTGCCCCCTCTAGAAAATGGCTTTTTTCCTCCAGAGCAGGTGTGAGCATCACAAAACTGGCGCAAAAATAAATCTACCAGAAAAACGAAATCAAGTTTGATGTCAAGAAAGAGTAAGCATACCAAATATTTTTTGCTTTCAACAAAGTACAGGATACGTACCATGAAGACGAGTTGCTGAGTGACCCTGATTTACCGGAAAACAACTGTCCGCAAGACTCTGACATTAGAAACAACCAGAGGTCAAAAAGAGAGAACCACAGAAAGTAGGGCATAAGAGATGAGATACAAAAGCAACCTCACACAAATGACGATTCTTAGCAGCAGCTGCAGGATTGCATTTGCTTTTACGGGGTTTTGAGTCCATCATGAGGTCACAATGCAATGCTCCACATACATCTGCCAAGCACTTTCCATTACTCTGAAATAGTTGGAAGCATAAGTTAAGAATTTTACCAGCCCTACCAAATACATATAGTAATTTGACATTGAAACTTAAACAACTAAATATAAGTGTGATAAAAGCGAACCACAAAAACTTTAGGATGGAATGGAAAAAATAGCATGATAGCTTCTGAATCACAAAATCTAATGTTACTTTCCTAGTCATGCTGCATCAAGTTGATGCCTAAATGAAAGAGGAAAAAGCAAAACCAAAGGCACAAGCTATAACGCACCATAGGAACTGTAGCCGTTTTTAATCAGGTAACTAGCATCTCCAGTGTAAGCATTATGTGAGCAAAATCACAAAAGAAATTTAATATATCTCTCGAAATGTTACAATCAAGCAACCTATCTTTAAAACTGTCTACAATATGGGTGAATAGAAAACTAAACAGCTCATTCGGAATACTGGGGGTCCTTACTCAAATATCATTGCATTTTATATTAACACATATTTAGTCAAATATCAACAAATTCAAACGCACACAAATATTACAACTATGCCATTAGTGGCACTTTATCCTAAAAAAGTGGAAGAGCTTCTCCAAAATCAAGACGCAGGATGCAAAATTTCTCTCTTAAATTTTCCCCAAGAGAAAGTTGCCTTACTGCTTAATATAGCAGTTGAAATTTAATCAGTATAAGAGAGGTTGCAACCATTGGAATGCCAAACATGTAGTCAAAAATTTACAGAAATGCAGATCGGAGTTTGTGGGAAGATGCTTGATGTAGGTACAAACCGATCAATGTGGACTGAAGTAATTGTTTTACCATGGCACTTACTTAAAGCAAATCATAAAAACCAGCAAGAAAAAACTAAATGTAAATACAACTTTATTTTCATTTTATTTCTTACACGGATTTGTACACCGTTTGTTTGTTTCTTGAATATATCACTTTTTGAAAGTTTACCTTTTGGCCACATACACACATTTTCAAAAACTTATACTTCTCCCCAGTTAAACTAACTTAGCACCCAAAAAAATCACTAAATGACAGATT